TCACGTACTCTAGTGCACTACATAGATATGCAAAATATGCAGACTTCAGGCATCGTATGTTTTTAAATTGTCAACAAACACGCTTCACAAAACCTAAGCTATTGAACGCCTTACCTACAACAATGTCTACATGTCTATAAAGTTGCTGTCAAAATATATACACTACCAAGATCACGACTGATAATAAAAAAATAACATAAATTTATACCGCTGACAATATTATCTGATAGTACCTACGTAGCGATTTCTACGTTGATTATCACATGCCTAATCCTTGTTAATGTGTATTTACTGTTTTGGCCACACGCAACTTGCTCATTGTTCTTGTGACGAGTCTGCGTTCCGAAAAAAAAAGTATGACTATTCAAAAGGGCTTATATTAAGTTTATTTGAATAAAGATTATGTCTATTTCTACAAAGTGTACAAAATGTATTAGAAAAAAATTCAAAACGGCATGGCATGACCGATTTTTATGAAATTCTGTTGTATATTTAGTAGGTCTAAGGATAGAACATTTTTTATACGCCTCGGTGATAAAGGTTGTCCTATTAACTAATATTTATTATAAACCCTAACAAAATGAGTATAGGGTTAAATAGCCGGTTTGCCGAGCGCTACCTGTTCGCGGATAGTTTTTCGACTAACTCCGGTAATAAACGTATAAAAGCATGGTAAGAGTTTATTTTGAGTCCAAAACTATTGATTCTATCATTGTTCTTTGTAAATGATCAGTGAGCCGATAAATTTAACTCTATTCGATGATACCAGTTTTTAAGTATAAAATATTTTTATGACAGTTTAAGTTGATGTTGGGTTTGTAATATTAACGCACCTATAGTTATATTTCCATCTTATTTAAAATTTGACTGGAAATAAGAGTAATTGAAATAAAACATGGGGTAATGGTGTAAAGGGTAAAATTAAAATTATTTCTGTTTACAACCATCTGTTCATAAATTGGAAGTTTTATTATTATATTATAGCCTTTTATTCAGACGTAATATTTTTTAATTGTTTTTATACTATATCTATAAAACAATTTATTGGTCATATACTTGCTTGTTTCCTGTGCAAAGGCCTTCTCTTAAAAAGTTTGAAAAAGCAAGAGCCAATCTGTTTCTTCCTATTTTTTTGAGGCTGCTATTCACAACATTATAAATCCTATTTGTATGTAAAAACCGACCAAATGCGATGGGGTGTAATGTTACAATATCTGTAGAATTTGTTTCATTTTTTTTAACATGAACTACAAAAGGTGCTACATCTTTAGTATTGTACAAAATCCTATTTACTGAAGTGGGTGAAGGAGTGGCTTTTATGGATGTATTATTATTTTCAACTACTAGTATTACATCTGAAGTTTGTTTGTCTACTATATTTGTTATTTCTGAATTTTGATTGTCAATTACAGGTATTATTTCTAAATTATTTTTTTCCTCCTTGACACATGGACAGTCACTGTCTTTTAATTTTGTCTCGGTACCTTTTTGATGTCTCCTACACTTTTTATTGCAGTGTTTGCAAATACGGCGTTCGCCCCTTACTCGCTTACGTTTTGTGGTTGTAATATTAGACCCATCAGTATCCATACTAGATTCACATAAAATATCAAAAGAATTGTTAAATGGAATATTTATAGTTGCAGACACCTGGGGGACTGTTCCCCCAGGGTCTATATCCATTGAGAATGGACCCGCCGGTCCATTCTCAATAGATATTATATATTAATAAATATATAATTAAACAATTAATCTAGTCTACAATATATAAATAAAAACTAATCCTTATATATAGTAAAATTAAATTAAACAAAAAGAAATCCAAAAAACACTCCCGGCGTTTCGAACATTTCCCGCGCTTTTTTTTCAACAAATGCATTGGCTTTTGAATTTGTGAAAAAAAAAACAAATGATACTCGATTCTTTTTTACAACCAGCCAGATGTCCTCTAGATCAAAAAAGTTTACATAGGTGTTAGGGGTTACTTGAGGTGTTTTTTTTAAATTTTCTGTCCCTCCCTTCCCCTCTGGAGATTTTATTCAACCCTCTCCCCCATCCCTCAATCTCACATGAGATTTTTCAAAATGTGGGTTTCTTACGTAAACGCGTTGGATTGTTATTGTAATAAGAAAAAAAAATGCTTCGTGCTTTTATTTACGACTACTAATCTGAACAAGTAATTAAGTTATATATGATAAGTACCATTTAATATAAACTGGCTTGATGCATCATTTAATTCTACGCACGTGATTGAAAAGGAATGTAATAATTTTATTATGCTTAAGAATCTATCTGAGCTAACCACAACTTGCGTGTGACAAACAATCGGTTCTCTAACATTTTTGCACTATTAATTCTTCTAATAAATTGTTTTGAACAAATTAAGTCACGTTTACTTTCCTTAGTGATGTGATACTACAAACAGCGTTGTGAATTTATTGATGAATTAAATTATTTTATTTACTTTCAGCAAAGGAATAGACTGAAGGGTAAACGTTTGAGTAAAGTAAACTTTATTTCGACAAAGTTTGCCTAACATAATTTATTTTTCTGGCCTGATTTTCAATCCATGCTGGTTTTAAATCAGAGCAGAAAAATAAATTATTATTGATATGTACTTCAGTATTTTATGTCCTATTTTGTAATATATGATGTAGTAATAAAATATTTCTATTCTTTTTGTTTTACTTACAATACATCGACAAACTTACAAAACATCGATGCGGGGTTATGATGTTACCAAACGATTAAAAACATCGATGTATTTTTAAAATGGACACCCCTAGGCTACACTGTACCGTAAGCTCAGATTAAATTGAGATATTTGGTATAAAACAAATTATGGTGGTTTGGCAGTCAGTAGTTGTATAACGTCGAAGTATGAATGAAATTATTTTCTTTCGAACGAATTAGTGAATGATCTTAATCGTATTACGATTACGCTTAAGATTAAATCTTAAGCATGTACAATCCGGATTAAATAGACCAAAATAGTATATATATTTTTTTTGTTTTAATAAAAAAAAGTTGTGAGATATTAGCCGAGACCCCCCTTCCCCCCTCTCTCCAACGTAAGATTAGATGAATTTGACTCGACCCCCTCCCCCCCTTAAACATCTCACGTAATTTACTGACTGCCCCTTACCTACTTGGTAAGAAATGATATAATAATTGATTATAATTTGAAATAGTATGTATTGCTTAGACTTTTTTGATGAGTGTATTTCATCTTCCCATGTTCCATTTGGTCGTACTCTTTTCCTTTATCCTTGTCTTGTTGTAGGTCCAGATAGTTATAGTCTTTCTCCATTTATCATTTCCACGTAATGTAGTTTTGACATTTATATACCTACTATATGTTTTACTTATCTTTCTAATGGTTTAGTGGTTTATCTTTTTTATTTTTCTCTTTCCTGTCATACTTCTCTAGTACCATACGTTGGCAAGTTCTTAATTTGATTTCTCATTATTTGGTGAGTACTGAGTACCCATATTTCGCATGAGTAAGTCAGTATTGGGCGTATAGACAGTAATAAAAATTAAATAGTTGTCGTTTACTCATAGCTTTTGTCTTTTGTAAATTTATACTAAGGTCGACTCCTTTGGTCTAAGATCTGTAACATATGTTGCAATTCTGTGGGAGATTTTGCAAGGAGCACTATATACTCGATATAGTGCTCCTTGCAAGTTCCCCAGTTTACGTTTCTAAAATCTCTTCTAAGACTGCCGTGAAAAGTTTTGGGGATAGAGGATCCTAATATACTCCTATTTGGATGCTAATTCTTTCTCCTTCTCTTTCCGATTTTCATACTTTACTGTAATATAATAGTGACCTTGACCAAATAATGAAAAAATATTCAATAATCTAACCCAATCAAAACCAATTAAAAAATTATATCATTCTAGCTTCAACATTAAAAAATTACAATACTTCCATACAAACTTTCATCTACCCTTTCAATACCTTACAACCCCTTTTTCGGATTAAACCTCTCACAGGGTCTAGACTATCTGTACTAAATTTAATTTAAATCGGTTCCTGGTTTTGGCGTGAAAGCAAAAGAAACAGACAGTTACTTTCGCATTTATTACATTAGTAAGGATTCAAACGTCAGATGGCGACCGGCTAAATGATTCAATACCTAAAAGCATTTTAATGATGAGAAATCAGGTGATCGTAGAAGGACCAACCACTAATTTTCTAACTTCTTTCATAGACAATTATTTTTATGCCGTGGTATTGTGGTTACTCAGCTATATACACATATATATCTATAGTTTGTAGTGTGTTAAATTTTAAATTTCTCTTTTTATGTAATGTACCTATTATTGATCTGGATTGTTTTTATCTAATCAAATTAAAATATCTTCATTCGTGTGGCTCTAGTGATCTGTCAAATCTACTCTACTCGCTGATCTGTATAGTTGTTAATTTTGTGGACTTCTTGTTGAAATCATTTTATTTGATGAACTTTCTACTGTTCATTCAGTATGACGCTATTTCTAAAAAGTATTTGTTTTATGAGGTGTTTTCTTATTAGTTTTATAATAACAGATTATGATTTTTTTTGTTGTATGACGGAGGCATAGTATGACCGAAATCTGTTCCTTACGAATTTACAATGTTATAAATATCTACTGTTTCATTTCTTATTATCTTTATCACTTTTTATTTAAATTAGTTAAGTTAAAGACTTATTGAAGTCAAATTAACAAAGTTGAAGAATTTTGCTGTGAAAACTCACCACATTGTTTGTAGATTCGACTCCTTGCACAGTATAAATATTTGTAATCATGAGTATGATTGTTTGTATCGGTTTGTGTGTTTCTTATGTATGTTAGAAGTTCACTCTTCTACTTATTGTTTGGTATAGTATATTGCCACTATTATATTTAATATTTGTTATGATTATTTTCCAAATTAAGGAGGAAATAAATACATATTTATATATTTCTCTTTGTTTCAGGACATCATTTGTTTTATTCTATTTTTCTTTACTGGGACATTCTACAATGGCTCAAGCTATACAGTGCCAACAGAATGAGCATTGCGAAATTGGATACTGTTGTAGTGAAAATTACACTTGCGAAAACTGCGATTCTCATTCAAATCAACAAATGATACCAAGTTCGAAGCCTAAGCTAAATATAAATTACGAAATATCGGATTCTTATAAGTGAGTAACTCTATACATCTTTTTTAATATATTTATAATTATTACCAGCTGTGCCCGAGGTTTTACCCGCCTTAAATTTCAATATAAAATGTAGCCCTATATGTGTTATTCTGATGCAATAGCTATATTACTATAAAGTTTTTGCGTAAAAGAGAAACAAATATCCATATTTACAAAGTTTCGCGTTTATAATATAATTAAACCACTAAAGAATGTTTAAGTCACTATTATTATAACAGTACTCTATGGGTTCTCATTATACAGTACAGTTTATTTTTATTTTTTTACTATTTTAGGCACGAAATCGGAAGTAATGGAGAAGATACGGAGAAGACTGATAATTTTAGCTACTATGGCGTGACTATAATGGTAGTCTTTTTAGCGGCGATCGGTTGTTTCCTTATTTACAAGATATTTGTATTTTGTAAGTATTTAAACTATTGTAATACTATCTAATCCATCATATAACATAGTTAATTTTTTACTATTAATTATATTTGTAAATTAAATTCTAGCCAAAAAATAATAATAAAGTGAAATACATTGTTATTTCAACCTTAACTACTCTTACCCTTTTTAATGGGATAGTCAGAGGCATTGTCGATGTTGTTTCAAACACAACACTCACACAATCCATTAGAATTAAAATAATTGATTTGGGACTCCTAAATTATTGAATGGATTGAATGGATCCCAAATTGAGTCAAATGTTTAATATGACTTAATTTTTAACTACTTTTACGTATTTAAAAACTTAATCAGCAATTCACATGACCTGTTTTACCTATTTTATTAGTATTATAGTTTTCTTAGCGTTAATGTTAGAAAGAAATGTTGAAAGTATACAAAACTAAAAATATTAATACCAAAAGTAAAAATGAAATCGAACTAAAATAAAAATATATCTAGGTAGGTATATTTAAGAAATCTTTCAAAAGGGTTCTCAAAAGTATTGTTTTTCATGTTTTTTATATGCATTTGTGGAACAAACTCTGTCCCACATACAGAATTTTTGTATCTTATTCTGTTCAGATCGCCGGACTGATGACATCACCCCTATTATAAAGACTGCCTCTGCTCCGTTAGCACCGCCACAGCCGCCGCCGGCTTATAATTTCCACTACAATAGAGACATAGCTAATGTAGGATACTGTTCTGGTAAGTTAAAGTTGTGTACCATATATTCACTGTAGCTGCTTTAGTGTCTGTTAATGTGTAATTTACAGTAAAATAAATAAGAGGTCCATCTTAAGGTACATCTTAATCCTTTGGGAGGGCAACGCATGAGCAGTATCACGGGTGTCATATGATAATGTCATGTCCTTATTCTATGTATATAGGCGACGGTTACCTCTTACCATCAGTTTCGTCGGCCAGGCCGTCAGCTTCTTTGCCATTCCACTTACATAAAAAAAATATTGTTTTATTAGGGCGTTCGTTATAAGTTAACGCAACTTAAAGTATTTTTTTATTATCGATGGCTAATGATAGAATAATCCTTTAGGAAAAAAATATTTTATTATGGGAAAAATATATATAGTCAGATTTGTTTTAGAACATTATATCTCACATAGTACATTTATATAAAAGTTATGTCAGCATAAATCGCTCTATATGGTTCGTCATACTTTAAAACTGAAATAGATAACTTTCATTAAATACACTGTGAAAAATCTCGTAAGTAGTGAAATCTGAAATTAAATGTTGGAAATGTCATACAAATTTTTCACATTACCGTGCTACGAGTACAATGAATATATAAAAATATTGTATTTGGGAAATTTGCCCAGTTTAATAAGAAACTATTATGATGAAATAATGTATATCCATATCCGTATAAAATAATGATCCTAACTTTCAAATGACAGAAAAATTGCCGTTGGTCGACTTTCCACACGTCGCCCAAGAGAGGGATGGTTGCCAGATGGCAAGTGGTTATAACCCCCCGAATTACGTTCGAATACCCAGGTGAGTTTTTATTTTTATAATATTTACAATAATAACTACCGGATATAGCGCTTAAGAACTACAAGTGGCGACTATCTCTATTTCACTTGTATTTTTGCTGCAAACAGCAGCGTCGAAACTTTGAAACTAATTCTGGAAAGTTGTAACCATTGTATTTCTATTCACGATAATTATGAACAAAATATTTAAATGTTGTTGTTGACTGTTCTTAGTAACAATACGCTGCCCGAGATCCGCAATGCATTAGAAAGTTTACCGCCGGACACAACGGGTGAACAAAGGGCAATTCCTGTCGTTTATACTGGCCCCTTATTACCCCAGGTTAGTACTTACTTCTTGTTATTAAACCAAGTTTATTTCTAGCTACATAATGTATACATAACATGAGGATGGTTAATACCATATTAATATACATGATACGACCCGGGTTTTAACTCGCCAAATTTCAAAATCCGAATTAGTCCATTAACTTAGCCGTATATGTGAGAAACAGATAAATTGACCTTTGTATTATTAGTAACGGTTTTTATACTGAATGAACAACTATTTCAATGCCGATTCCTTCAAATAAACGAGCCTTTAATTAAAACAATGTGGAAAACAAGCCCCGTAAAATATAGGCTGAGTTTGTACAAATGTGAGATTAATTATATACTTAGGTTTTCAAAATACAAGAATACCATGCTTGAACAATATACATATATTGATAGTATTCTTTTAAACCAACTTATAATTTTTAAACAGGAAAGCATCATCGATCTTACAACAGCAAGCACCACAAGTCGGGAATTAATAGCTGATGAAAGTATACAGGACAGTGAAGCAAATACAGAATCGCAATCGGCACCAGAAAACACCCGTCAACCCGCATCAATTTTAGTAAATATGAGCAATACGATTCATATAAATAACGGAAATGTTAAAATTGAACACAGTTAATGATAGGTAAATAGAATTAAAATGTTACATGAACACAGTATACCTATCGTAGATATAATTTCCTTTAAATATGTATGAATGGAAACGTTTCTAAAAACAAATGTTATAAATGTAATAGCTTTAACTTCGCGTGATTCTGACATAAATGCAATGTTGCAGAATGCTAAAAGATGTTTAAAGCTAAAAGATATAATGGGTTTGACAAGTGACGAAACTGTACTGTTACTTGTAATGTAAATACATTTTTATCATGTACATGTATATATACTCGTTCTCATCTTTTTTCTGACTATAAATTGTCTTTATTAAGAAGAATTGGAAAATTAATATTTTGTTATCCTATTTATTGTACATACATCACCTACAAAGTGTCTGTTTACGTTATAGAAACAGAGAAGTGTAAATTGTTACATTATCTAACTATTATAAATGTAGACCTTTCTAATAGTCCAATAAAATTTTTAATTGAACCATGATGTGACCAGTTTTGGCGCAATATATATATATATACGCAAATACGTGAATAATAATATTCAGAAAGAAATTTTGATTTAAGTTGACGAGTAAGTGTTGAAAAAAATAAAATCGAGTTGAAAAACGCAATTTTTCAAAATAACTCCATAACGATAAGAAATATGAAAAAATATTTTAAACAAAATTGTAGAGAAAAAAATTATTCACAAAACAGGTTCTCTTCATTTTTTTATCATCTGCTGTTGTTTAGCCTCAAAAAATAAAAAAACTAATTAACTAAAACTAACAACGATCTGTAAAAGGGGAAACATGTGTACCTAATAGTATTAATGCCTATTTACGTGATTGCGCGCGCTGTATTATACAAGGCATTTACTTACTTTTTACTATTTTTTCAGTTGAGAACGAGGCAAATTAGTTTATAATTTTTGTTGCTAAACAACAATTTATTTTACAATATAATTTGAAAATAAATGTATATTATCTTAGTAATCTCAAAGACAGATCTTGTATTATCATGATATCATATCATTCACGTCACTTAGTTTCCATTGTAAATTATGGACGCTGGCTACATTAGATTTGAATTTTGCGATGCCTATTTTGGCTCTCAGAAGTCAAAAACAATTTCATATCATTGATCTTGTAGATCGATCGATTTATAAATATCGGTCGTTCAACAAATGTACTTTAACTTGATTCATATCAGCGATCATTATTTTAAAAGGAGAAAATGAATTTGATTGTCGATTAAAGTGATGTTTGATTTTAATGCGCTTTATGCGTGAATGATTCCTATTGTTGTGTACAGTATGGATGAGAATTGCATCGGTGACAGCGATTATATTAGATACAGATGAGTATTCTCTGGTAAACTGCCTCAATGCAACCTTCTGTTAGAGCCATATGGCTGGCTTCTATTAAAGAAGCGCTACTATGCGTTGCAAGCGTGTTTTCCATGATGGGGCCATCCGCAGATGATCCCCATGGATCCGCTCAACATGTATCTATGTATAAAATGTCGCAACCAAAGATTCTCAGGTGGGAAAATTGATTTTAGTACCTGTCCACAATTCTTCAAGATTCTTCAAGAACCGTACGCCGACACAATGTTAGAATAATAAGTTATTCTAACATTGTGCGGCGTACGGTTCTTGGGATGGATAGTCGTATTTACAGCTTCTCCCTAGTATCCTTTTGGCGCATCATCGAATTTTCGAGCATAGATTAATCTTTCTCTATTGTAGTACTATTAGCGTGGTACCCTATTTTGTTGAGGAGTATATGGAAACTGTCGTTTGGTATACAATGTCGTTCCTTCAGAATGATGTTCATTTGGTGTGTAGTGGGTATATTTTTTTAGTATGGCACCCGCTACTTTGGAGACGTTATTTATTAACGATACTCAAACGAGAACAATGATATTTTAAAAAATCCTTGTTGTCATTATTATAATAATAAATTATAAAAAATGTAGGTGACGTATTGCAAATTTTAACAAAATTAATTGAATATTCCCTTTGAAAGTTGTTTCTCAACTTTGTTTAGCTTATATATTTTTCTGTCTTTAACAACATATTCTGTGAATTTTTTATCTTAATTCCTCTAGCCGTTTTTACACGAACAGACCAACAAACAGATGAGGGTAATAAATAGTCAGAGAAAAGATTGTTTAAAATTATAATGACGGTTTACCACATTTGCGCAGTAATGAAGTACTAAATTTTACTTAAATAGCTATGAATGGAGACTAAGAAAAATAAGATTTTAAAATAAGATGTGATAAAGGTTCGTGGTTCAAGTTTCACGAGTAGCAAACTTTGAATCCAATAAAAATAAATGAATTTTAGTATTCAGTATTTAATTACGATATCGCAAAATATAATGTAATTAAGTTTTATGAATTTATTTATGATTATTATTATATTTTTTGGATATACATAGATGAACAAATGTTCTGCTAAAACTGAAATACTTATTTACATTTCTAAATATATATATGTAATGGTATATTGCCAATGAGTAGTACAGGACCCTTAATAGCTTAAGACCTCATGAACCCTTCGGATAACGATCACTCTGTAAGTAAGATTAGTAGGTACTGAGGTTAGTGATGAAAAGTAAGATTACCGTCTCCTAGGCTGTTTCACGAGCTATTAGGCTATTATGTACTAGTGGAGTGGTTCCGCAGTGTGGACTGGTCTGTGATACTATGAATATCAATCTAGATATTATTTATAATATAGTATTTTTTATATTTTTTTAAGATATTAACCAAATGTTTCTATTAAGTTTGATTTAGTGAGAGATTTAAATCTTACACTTTTATACGTATACCTGTAAGTTGCAATTATAACATTGGGTACGTTTTACCATTACGTATAATAAACTAAGATTACGACTGACTCTGACGACGTCACGTAAACATATGTGCGTGGAGTGTATCAAAATTTATTATGATATATCGAAATTCGTGTCATACTCATTAATGATTCAGATATGGTATCTGCACAAAATTTTGATTAATGCTGTGCTACCGAGCACTGTCGCGGCTCTCCTATTATGCAACACTTATTTTCTAAAAATCTGATGTAAATCCGCCGATTTAGACAGAAACATTGTTAACTCTTAAAGGTATCGTAATTGTTTTCTTTATGTATAAGAATGGCCACACACCATTTTTCAATGTATGTAAATAGGTTTTTTTTTAGGTCCGTTGTATTACGCAACAGCCGTTTTTAAAAGCCAATTTACACAAAACAGAATACATATGTGCATTTATTAAGGATATCTTTTGTTTTAAAAATAATGACATTAGGTATATAACATTGCATTGCTATCGTAATACATCTAGTAATATATGCTCTATATGAGAATGCAGATATTTTCATAAAAGACCGAAACAAAAAACATTATTTATTTTTAGTTCATACTTTAAATTTTTATTGTGATCTAATCTAAGTCACTTTGACAAAAATCTGGTATTGTTACCTAATTTTATATATGTGTTAATCAGCCTCGGATCTAGGGCGCAACACCATCTGCGTGGATATCTCTGTCTTGCTCATTCCTGCCATCAAGTAGCTTGCTTTGTAAGATGTGCTTCGGTGGAAAGGTGAGATATGACAGTGACATTACAGGGTACACAGGCACTACAACTGCTTAGGAACAGTCCTCGAGATTAATTGAGGGGTACCACTTATATAGCGTTGTCATGGTGTCCGTGATTGACGACATGACAAGGTGATACGTGGCGCTGTTCATTTATAAAGGCGACGGTTGCAAATTTCCATGATAGCGCTTCACCTCATGGATAGTCGTTATACAAGTTTTGTATTTAATATTGTAATAGAATGCATATACCTATATATACAGTATACTGATATATGCGTATTACATATATATAATGGTGTTTTATAATAATATTTTTTGTTTATTATATATCTTTATCAACAGTATATATAACATTCTTGCAGTATTGTAAAAACGGAGATTAAAAAACATGCATCAATAAATTTTTATTGTATAAATCCCTACTGTTTTTATTAATTCAATTATAATTATATAGATTTTTATTTTTTGTGCTATTCATTTAATTAAATGCCCAATTTTTATAACATCTTTAATTTTGTCGATCTATCAACGCTAATTTACAATAAGCTGTTTAGTCATAAAATGATAAATATAATACAACAAATCGAAATAACAGAGAAATATAAATATTTCGCAGTTAATTGAACTGAGTTATCAAATTTAAAAGAATATTGTACAGCGCTATATAAATGCACAACATAAATACTGCACTATATAAACTCTAAAATACTTTAACTTGTTTTATTTATACTGTTACACTGATACCTTTGTTGCCATGGATCTGGTGACTTAGACGAAGGTACCTACGCGATATTCTCGATATCATAGTACCCATATCTCTCCTGATAGTATAATAGTATATAGTGATATTAATATAATATAGATAGGTATAATTTACCAGAATTAATCAGAACTTCCATTACCTCTTTGTTCTAAACGAAAACAGTTTTCTGTAATTGTGTCATGAGGAAAAAATAATTAGGTATAGGTATATTATTTTGGAATTTTTAGAGTAAACTGCTTAAGAGAGTGTGATTTTCTGGTGTGATAATAAGTATTTGATGTCTATACTATATTTAGAAGTACATACCTATTTGCCAAACACATAGATGTCTGTACAACATATAGATAGATATATACAGATGAAAAAAAGTTCTAAAAATTAACCATACCTGTTTATGGGTAAATCATTACAATCATTTACCTGATATTGAAGGGGAAAACGCAATAAAATACTAAACGTAATAATAAAATATGGCAGTGTACTAGAATTAGATTTTTATCAAATATACGATTGCCCCACTCGACTCAATATATAAATAAATACTTTTTTTACTTTACTTCATTATAGATAAGTACAGGAAAGTTTAGCAACAGAAGAATTGAAATACCTCGGTAAAGTGAATCTAATAAAATCTTAAGTTCTGAACATGTTCAAACAAGTTCGTGAGTTTGTGAGCGTTTCTTAATCGACCCACAGACGTACTCCATATAGCTAAGAGAAGAGCCGTCTTTGCGGTTTTAGTCATACAAAAAAAAGATTGTGTTGTTGAGTCACAAATTCACTTTTCTATTCACTGGGTAGTGTTGTGGGCCTGTGCCTGTCGAGTGTGTATTTTTCATATTTAATTTAGAAGATACAACTATTATTGTAAAATGTTTCGGTAAGTAAATAACTGCCTAATTATTCGTTTGAAATAGATAGATAGATTACAATAGGTATAATAACATTACAGTGATAACGAAGATGAATTGATGAAATTAGATTATTTTTTCAAACTATTCAAAAGCAGCTGGCCTTGGCAGCTTCAGCGGGCGATAGGAGGCGAGTGCAGTTGGCACTACAAACCCTCGGAAGGACTTATGGGGGGTAGGGCAAGGTGTAATAAAGGGCGGCCCCCTACTCCAAAAATTCTATATTAACTTTTGAACAAATATTACCTCGGACTAAAATCTGCCTTCCTCCTCCTTGGCCAGGAAAATTCACTTTCATTATTTTACCAGAAACATGTCTGATTTAGTATAGTACTCATATCGTTAGCTTATCTATTACTTTTTACTATACTTATCTAATTTGTACCAAAACCATGAATAAAGACCAAAAATAAATTGCGATTAGAGAGTGAAACACTGCTAAGGGTGGAATGGCGAATCAAATCCTGATCATAGGACATAGGATCATAGCAGGACTATCATGGATAGTCCAGCTTAATACCAGTAAGTACCTACCATGACGTAATCGTCATGGTAGGTACTTACTGTACCCTACTTACACCTGGCAGGTACCTACTACGTATTGATTATTAAAAAAGGCCTTACTCATGCACTATCATTTTTAATCAAAACATATTGCCATAAATTATTGGGTATCATTTAAGCTATCGCTAATTTAATTAGTTTCATGTTTCTTAAATAATAGCGTTTGCTCCCAAATTAGTAGATTTGTCACCAAAACGTAGTCACCAAACAATATAAAATCAATTCCACAATAAATCACCTAAAATCATAGAGATATAGGGTCTAGTAACAAATAAATGTTTTTGTATGTATTATAATAGGTTTGTGCTGTTAAGTATGCAAGCAAACTAATTTAAAGACATCACCAATAAATCATATAATGTCATTAGAAAAATTCATAAAGTTCCTACTACTTAACTAGAAATATGCCAAGGAACTTAATTTCCACACGTAGTATAAATATATTTTAAAAAAAATTCCAGCAGAATAGTAAATAAAACTCTTAATTAAAGTAAATAATCAAGCCTTATTGTTAAAAATAATAATTACTGAATAATCAGCGCTGGTTTGGATTTTGAAGGGCGCCCCCTTTTTCTTTTCTGGCCGATAAGCACATTTTGTTTCTGGTGGGGTGTTGGCCAGCTTTAAGCGTATGGCTAATCCGATAATATGTTTGCACATACATTTTTTGAGAAACGCAGAGCAGTTGTATTTCCATCATTGAGGCCGGATTGGTAAATTTTTATGAGCGCGCCAATTTGTCTCCGCCTCTTTGAACATATTTTCATTAAAAATATATATTGATGTATTAAATTAGTAACGAATACTATTATTTTAATAACTGAACGAAATAAAATGTAACTACTGTATTAAAAAAACACAATAGACAAAATAACAAATAAAAAGTAGTCGCATTCAGGGATCGATAATAATTGATTTATTTGGTGACAGCTCTACCAGTCTGAGCACAAAACTATTATTTATAGATAAGTAATAAAACTGTAATTATAAGAACGAAGTCTAGATATATTCATTGCACTACAATTTTTTGGTAATCCATCTCTTATTTTACACATATATTAACATTAATTCGATAATTTATATCTGGGAACACTTTTTGTTTATCTGAGAACGAAAATATTTCGTGGCGATAGATCTATTTATTAAGTGATTCAACTTAATGACAAACATGAACTTTGGTGACAAAAAATATAGTTATTAAAAATAATTACACAATAAATAGTTTTATTCACAAATATATATTATTTATTATTTAATACACTGCCCATCACCTTATTCCTTTTCTATTATAATAGTCGTGACCTTATTAGCATTCCATCGAACCACCTGCTGGTGGAGAGAAACCCCTAGTAAGATGATGAGTAATATTTGTGTGTTAAGTGACAACATCTTCTAATATTTAATAACATAATAATAATAGTATATTAATTTGATTCTGTTTCATACTTATTACCTGTATTTACCAGTTCGTTTAATATATATGTATATACACTAAAATGTGACGAGATTATGTACGTTGTTTACGATAGCGATATCAATTTTTATCAGTAGTATTTACTGGAAATATAATAATGTATCTACTTAGTTTATTCGAACATTCTAGATGATTCTATTGAATATAAAACCTAGATTAGTACACCTACATTCTGTTATCTTGGATTTTCGTTTGCATATTACATGAATTAATCAATTATAATATTAAATATTCGACAGACAGACACATACATATGGTTGACCGCCTAGTAAACTGCTAGACGGAGGTCTAATGGTTTACTATCCCATCGTTTCTAGCGTTGCATAATTTTCGCCTGTATCTATCCACGGTTGGATGCCTTCCCCAATGCCTTCCACCATATGACATCCTCCGGCTTCCGCATCCATCCATTCCCGGCCACCTTCGTGATGTCGTCGGTCCATCTTGCAGGATGGCCGACCTGAACTCGGCCTCCACTCCATAATGCCTTTCCTTTACGAGTAGGGGAATGGTGTGGTGGACCTCCGCGCGGTTCTAAACCATCGTAATAATAAATCTTGGTGAATCTGGCTGACTGACGTAACTTCATGATCATGTTATTTTCTGCGTAAATCGCTAAAGGGTTGCGCCATTATTATTCATAATATTATATACATATAAGTATATACATATTTGTGTGTGTTGGAATAATGTTTAACTTACTCTTTTTATTAGTTTACTGTTGGTCCTCTTTCTGCATCAACCTTGCCGCAGTGCAGAACTGGCTGCTTGCAGTGAAGACTCTCAATGTCCGAACGATTTTTATTGCGAAAGTCATGCATTTACCTGCCGTCAGTGCCTTCAATGTGAATTATTTCACCGATCGCTACCACTGTCATCAACACTGTGTGTAAAATCAATTGTCGAGTGTGGTCCTTGTTTGAAAGGGTAAGTAATACAACAATTATACATGAATCATAAAAATAATGTATAAATTATACTAATTGACTATTTTGGATACGCTATACATATGATTGATTTGAATATCTGAAAATACAGTACAAAGTTCCACCCTCCATGTATAGCGCGGCTACGCACAGTACATGTTTTACAAACTATATTTATTGTCAGATATGTCCTTTTGTCATTATAATTAGTTTTTTTAATCAAATAAAAGTAAATTATTCAGAATATGATATGATATGATAGACGATAGACTATTTAAAATTAAGAATATGAAAAAATATTACGTGAGTGAGCTACATATTTGAAGTATGGTCTATGCCTCTCTCAATACTATTTGAGTAGGTATATAAATTACATATCTCCCTTATTATCAGATAGTAAATACGTAGATACACTTATATTCTGTCTTCTATAGGTTGTAATTATTGGTGTTATACATACTTAGATACGTTTTTATACCATAAATCATCGTTATTGTGTTATTTGATTATGTGGGGTTGGTACCATAGAGTAATCATAACATGGGCTTATGTGCTAATTGACAGTCGCAGATGAAAGTGTTGTTTAAGGGTTAAACTACATACTGAACGAATACTATAGTACCCTATACTATAGTGTCAGATACTAGATATGTTGTCCATAATCTGTAGCCTAATTGCATCACTTAGTTTATTAATAATATAAATTCGTGAATTAAAATTTGGTCCAAAAAATAGAACTTTGAGTGATAATTTACATTTCTGACTGATTCTCCGGTGAAAGAAACACCGATAACAAATTCAAACATTCATCAGAAAACTGGCGGTAGGTTCGGCTCTGCAACCCAACCGAATGAATGAATTTATTCAGCGAAATGTGCACATGTAAAGTGTTGCGGCCACCGCGTAACATAGTACATATTATGATTATGATAAGAGCTATTTTGTCTGGAGTTCGGAATTGTGCCAATATTGTTTTAGTGACAAAGTTGCTATGTCCGTACTCACCCTGAAGAAGCCTTTCCGATGAAGTCGAAACAATTATTGCTAATGACTAAAACATTGTAAGTTCATTAAATTAATAAATAGTGCCATCTATTGATTTTTTGAGATTGATTATTACCTACATTAAATTTCGAAATTGGAAAAATGTAGTTTGTGAATGTAGTTACGGGGAAGGCATGGATTCAAAGCTATGACATTACGATCATATAGTCCGTTTAATGTACCTATCGTGTACTTATATGTATACCGAATTGGATGAGTCATATTTACCGTTCAATTTTATTTATGTTATTCATCATGTGGAGGGTTGATCTTTTTACAGTAGGTAGGTATTTTCAGACAAAAATAAAATCTCTTTGTAGTCATTGTAGTTGTAGTTTGCCTACGATTGTTCTCCAGACTCACCTTAAATTGGTAGGTCCTGAGTGACCTATTATGTTTTTTTTTATGGATGATAATGAAATAGTGCACCCGCCTGCGCTAACGGTTTACGCTGGCGGGCCACCAGTGGACGGTGATAAGATGAACATGAGGTCAGGTCAGTTAGCCCATCGTGACAAATTTAACAAGAATTTATTACGATGGTTTCCAGGGGGAACCGCGTGGAGGTCAACCTGACATGGTACATTGCTAGTAATGGGGTCATGAGTCCACATTACTAACAATCCCTTTCCCCTCTGACCAATTATGTTCAATTTCTATTTTAAACTTTCAGTTTTAATAATGATCAAGAATCACAAGATAGTTTGAAAGATAAATGTACAATATCTGGTGTAAAACAAAAACAGCTGATACCGATCTATGTTTGGATTATAATCACTGTGTGTGTATCTGCTATAATATATCTTGTGGTACATTTGCTGTGCAAAACGCGTGTACTCACCAAAATAATCTACTGTGAGTAACATATTACATATGTCTATCTATACGAACAAATAGTATTGAAGTGTCTGTTTGTAATTTCAAATTAACAGCTTTTTATTAAATGCATTTGAAAGAATATAATGCTATTTACTTGCATCAAAAATTTAATATAAATCATTTTTATCTGTCTGTCTGTTAATCTGTATAATGGCTGGACCGATTTTGACGGGACTTTCACTCGCAGACAGTTTATGTTATAAGGAGTAACTTAGTGTATATTTATTTTAGAAATTTGTTTTATTTATAAATGAGTTACATTTTACGATATTACCATTATATGTACATACAAGTTACATTACATTACCTATACCTAACGTGAACAGACGTCCCATTTTAAACGGGACTGTCCCTTTTTATAATTACGAGTCCCAGTATCCCTAAAATGTGTAATCCAGCGGACCGGTTGTGATGTTAATTATTCTTGATAATAAGTTATTTAAAAGATTCACTAATAATACTTAACTTTCAAGCGAACTTGTTCTAAATAAAGCTTTAAGACATCGATTTTTTCAATGTCTGTGTATTAATTAATATAAATAAACCAATATCCCGTTTTGAGTTAAATAATAAATGGTCACGTTACCTATACCACAGCTTATACTGTAAGACAAAGACTTTCAGAGTTGTTTGTTAAAAACTAATTATATTTCGTAGCTATAACCTGTACGGCAGCGCAACACACACAGGAGCAGCCACAGGGACAGACAAGGAATCATGTTGTGCCCAGCGCACCTTATTATTCGGCTGGCACTCCTGAGGATCCGTATCCCCGTTCACACCAACTACAAATGATGTCTGTAACGGACACTGATCATCCCCCTTTCTATAATTTATTGTATCCGCCATTGGAAAGTAATCCTCTGCTGCTCGATCAAGATACGTCTCCAAAAGGTAAGTATTCTATGTTTGAATGTTTGTTATCTTTATTATCTATTATTATATTATAAAGCAAAGTCCCCGCCGTTGTTCGCTTATATTTTTTTCAACAATAGATATAGTGATTCAAGAGGAACGTTTGTATGTATAATAATACATGAATGTTATACTATATAAGCCGAGGAATTCAAAGATTTGTACTGCATCCGTGCAAAGCCAAGACAGGTCGCTAGTAATTTTATAAACTCTTGATTGATTGTAGTAATAGTCTAATAATATCACTGAACAATTCACACAACGTTATCTAGTCCCAATGTAAGCAGAGCATATGTTATGAGTACACTATACAACAGATATATATTTTTTTGTAAATAAATACATAATATACATAGAAAATGCCCAGATCGATACATTTATACTCCTGAATACAAATGTACAGTGCAAGGAATGGAACCGTCAACCATAGAAAATAAAACGGTGTGTTAAACCGCTGGGCCACCGAGGTCATCAAAAATTGATCTTTATATAGGTAACTTTGAACTCATTAAAAATGATTAGGTACCAAATTCATACGAACCAAAAATGGAGGTGACTTTTTTGTTGACTCATGTCAATTTAGTTGAAGATGATTAGTCTATATTTAATTTTGTGATGATAAACAAACCTAACAACAATTGCTATATTTATTACGACTTATGCTACCAATTACTTGCTTGCCCCCAAGTCCTAAACATTATGCTTTTTTTTATAACAAAGGGAACAAACGAGTAACTCACCTGATGGAAAGTGATTACCGCCGCCCATGAGCACCCGCAACACCAGGGGAATTGCAAGTACGTTGTTGGCCTTTTAAAAAGGAATAAGCTCTTTTCTTCAAGGTTTCAATATCGTATCGGTTTGGAAATACCATTGCTGGAAGGTGATTTCACAATGTGGTTGTGCGAGGCAAAAAGTTTCTAGAAAACCGCACTGTGGAAGACCGCCATTCATCTAGATGATCAGGATGGTATTTCAGTTTCTGGCAGGTGGTACGGTGGTGAAATTCAGCAGCTGATATTAATCCGAACAATTCCTCAGAACACTCAGATATATGCGGCGTGAAAATGCACAGAGATGCAATATCTCGCCGCAAAGCCAATGGGTCGAGTCTGTCACATAGACGTTGATTACCAATGATTCTGGTTGCTCGGTACTGAATGCGGTTAAATGGAAGTAGCTGATATTGTGGTGGTCCCGCCCAGAGATGAGAACAGTATTCCATGTGCGGCCGGATCTGCGCCTTGTATAATTGCAAGCGATGGGCCGCCGTGAAATACCGTCTCACTCTGCTGAGCACACCAAGCTTTTTTTAGGCTATTTTAGCCTTGTCCACCAAATGACCGCAAAACTGAACGTCATTGGATATATCAACGCCAAGGACCTCGAGATTTGGCTTCACATCAAGGAGAGTATCTTGAAACTGAGAAGATACGATAAATGGATTCTTTTTAGCGGTAAACGCGCAAACTTGTGTCTTCTTGGGGTTGAATTGAATACAATTTTCCTGACCCCAAACCGAAACTTGATGGAATAAAGTTTCGATTTCGGACACAAGTTTGTTCCGGTACTCTATAACTTTTGCCTGCGACATATTAGCATGGCCGCTGTACAAGGCATCTCCGGTACTGTCATCCGCATAGCAATGAATGTTGTTGATTTGTAACATGTCATTGATATGCAGAAGGAACAGCGTCGGAGACAGCACAGAGCCTTGTGGAACACCAGCATTCACAGAGTGTGGGTCGGAGCAAGCACCATCGACAACGATCTTGATGCTCCGATCAGCGAGAAAGCTGGCGACCCATTTGCATAACTTCGCAGGCAAACCGAAGGAAGGTAGCTTTGAAAGAAGAACTTTGTGCCAAACCCGATCAAAGGCCTTCGCAATATCCAGACTAAGAGATAGGGCCTCCCCCTTACTCTCAATAGCCTCTGCCCATCGATGTGTCAAATACACTAGAAGGTCACCAGCTGAGCGACCCTGGCTAAAGCCATACTGACGATCAGAAATCAACTGGTTCACTTCTAGGTATCGTCTCCTACGATACGGTTGACAATCGACTCCATGGTCTTTGAGAATAAGGAGGTGATGGCTATGGGTCTATAGTTAGCTGGATCTGAGCGATCTCCCTTCTTAGGGATTGGTTTGGTTCATCCGCCAAAGCCGTCTTCCAAAGTTTCGGGACTATACCTGTAGAGTAACAGTACCGGAAAAGACGCGTTAGTACCGGAACCAACTCAGGTGCACACGTCCTGAGCACAATAGCAGGAATACCGTCAGGCCCACTCGACTTGTGGATATCTAGGGAGAAAAGAGACTTACGTACCAGCTTTTGGGTAAATTTTACCTCTGGCATAAAAGTCTCACACCGCGAGATGACCGGCGGTGATTGCTCTAGAATAGAATAGAATAGAATAGAAAATAATTTATTCCAATAAACTTACATTGAAGCACTTTTGAATAGTCATTACATTTTTTATTCTACCGCTCGTTCGGAAAGCTTTCTCATCACAAGAAGAACGAGCAAGAAACTTGCGTGTTGCTCTTTTAAATAATTTTATTATTACTTTACATTTTTAAGTTTAAGTGTGTGAATACAAACCACCAATTAGCACTTCAATTAAATACTCAAATAGAAAAAATATTTAATATATAACCAACTGGTTAAACAATTAATAAGAGGAAATCAGTCATAGTGATTAGAGCAGACCAGTCCCTACAAGCAGCACCCATTCACGAGTATGACGGATGAGCCAGCCATCACTGCGCTCGACCATATTTTAGGGAGCCCAATGACCCGGCCCACCACGCCGCCACAAGTCTGGACATTTTAGTGAGCATGACTACTCAAAACACTAGACTACGTCAAAACTACTTACAATTGCCATCTGATAGTTATAGTATTCACATTTTACATAAGAATGCATGCGGCAATCAATACAAAAACCGCTACGCTTTCATATTTCTAAAATCAATCCATTAAATCAAGAAAGCAATGAGAAAATTAAATTATAACGTTGTATGCTAATAAACTAATTATTTACTTGATATGTTGTCATCTATGAATTCGTCTATCCTGTAATAGGCTTTCTTACATAAAAATTGTTTAATATAAGATTTGAATTGCCTCTCTGTTAGATTTAATGCAGATTCTGGCAGTTTATTACAAAATCTTACGCAATTACCATAGAATGAGTTACTGATTTTGTGCAGACGGCATTTAGGTAAAATTAGCTTATTTATATTGCGTAAGTAGAAACTTGTACAGTCTTTGAGTTTTTTAAAACTCTCTAAGTTCTTCCGTGCATACATGATATTTTCATAAATGTATTGTGAAGTAACGGTGATATTTGATTCTTTAAAGCACTGACGTAATGACTCTCTTGAACCCATACCATAAATAGAACGTATGGCTCTCTTTTGTAAAATAAATATAGTATTTATATCGGCTGTTTTGCCCCACAGCAGTATGCCATAAGACATTATGCTATAGAAATAACTAAAATATACAAGTTTAGCCGTCGCCACGTCTGTTAATTGCCTAATTCTTCTAATTGCATATGCAGCAGAACTGAGTCTACTGGCCAATTTTGAAATATGGGGCCCCCATTGTAATTTCGAGTACACTGTTATACCTAAAAAAACTGTATCATTAACAAAATTTACTATTTCGTCATTAAGCAATAACTGTGTATTAGTCTTACAATAGGAAGTGTAAATTTTATACACTTTGTTTTGCTGGAATTTAATAATAGGTTATTACATGTAAACCAATTTAATATTGCAGACATAGCACAATTTACATGGTCTAATTGATTTCTTTGACGTCCAATTTTATACACTAACGAAGTATCATCCGCAAACAGCACTATATCTGCAATTGTCTCTACCATAAAGGGAAGGTCATTTATGTAGATTAAAAAGAGAAACGGGCCTAAGATTGACCCTTGTGGAACGCCCATCTTAATATTAGCTCCCTTAGATTTTACACCGTCAATATCTACAGTTTGGACCCTGTTTGTATTTGCCGGTTCTTTTATATATTATACATTATTATGTATGAAATCAAAGACTGTTGTCTGTTGACTTATGTGAATATATTTCAATTGTTTTTTATAATGTTTTTAAATATTTATGTACAAAAAAGGTTTTAAACATACTCCACCTTAGAAGATGTGAATATTAACTAACTAATTGATGGATAAAATGAATGATATACAGGAAATAATGAATTTAACATTTTTTTTTTTCATTTTTTAATAACAAAAAAAACTAACAGTGCTGCAGTGGTATGTGAATAAGCTTGCTTATCGGTCTTTGAAAGTTTCCCTTTACTGTTTTTATTAACGCAGATCTGACAAGTTCGTCGTCTTTATTGGGATATGTTTCAATGACTCTACCCACTAACCAAACACATGGAGGAGTGTCTTCACCTTTAATTATGACAAGATCACCCGTCTGTATATTCCTTCTGAGATGCATCCATTTAGGACGACTTTGTAACTCTGATAAATATTGTAATTTCCATTGATGCCAAAATTGTTGTTTTAACACACAAATTCTTTGAAATAATGATAGTCGATTTGATTGAATATGCATCATGGTAGGTTCAGGCAGATCCATCAAAGAGTTGCCTATCAAAAAATGAGCTGGAGTAAGACAAGTTAAATCATTTGGTAAATCTGACATAGCACACAACGGCCTAGAATTTAAAATTCCCTCTATTTGTATTATTATTAATGTATTCAATTCTTCGTAAGGGAGTTTTGTATCACCTAACTGTCGTTTCATCAAATTCTTAGCTGCCTTTATTCCTGCCTCATATATGCCTCCCATATGACTAGCTAACGGGATTGTAAATTTCCAATTAATAGATAAATCTGTGGTAAATGATAATATTTTGCTATATAACTTATCATCCTTAAACATTTCGTAAAGACGATTGAGTTCATTGTGAGCACCCTTAAAATTAGTC